TTTATAAAAGGTACCGGTGTAGCCAAAATAATCATTATCCTGTTCTAATAACAATAAAATACTGTCTTGTTATGTTTTTAGTTCCTAAATATAGAGGGGGAATATTGAATTTTAGTATTTTATTCCTAATTAGTGTCGTATTTACTCGTTTTTTACTAAACACCGACAACTGGAACTTTTTACGTAACTATGTTTCGATCTTTTATTTAGAGTATTTGTACCAATAATAATTTTTAAAAAAACCTGTCTTGTTATTTTGTTAGTTCCTAAATAGAGGAGGACCATCTAATTTTAACTTTTTATTGCTAATTGCTGACGTATTTACTCAGTTTTTACTAAACTCCGACAACTGGACATTTTTAAACTATGTTTCGATCTTTTATTTAGAGAGCATTTGTTCCAATAATAATTTTAAAAAAACCTGTCTTATTGTTTTGTTAGTTCCTAAATAGAGGAGGAACATCTAATTTTAACTTTTTATTGCTAATTGCTGTGGTATTTACTCAGTTTTTACTAAACACCGACAACTGGACCTTTTTACCAAACTATGTTTCGATCTTTTATTTAGAGTATTTGTACCAATAATAATTTTAAAAAACCTGTCTTGTTATTTTGTTAGTTCCTAAATAGAGGAGGAACATCTAATTTTAACTTTTTATTGCTATTGCTGTGTTATTTACTCAGTTTTTACTAAACACCGACAACTGGACCTTTTTACCAAACTATGTTTCGATCTTTTATTTAGAGTATTTGTTCCAATAATAATTTAAAAAACCTGTCTTGTTATTTTGTTAGTTCCTAAATAGAGGAGTAATATCTAATTTTATCTCTTTATTGCTAATTGCTGTCGTATTTACTCAGTTTTTACTAAACACCGACAACTGGACCTTTTTACCAAACTATGTTTCGATCTTTTATTTAAGTAGAGTATTTGTTCCAATAATAATTTAAAAAATCTGTCTTGTTATTTTGTTAGTTCCTAAATAGAGGAGGAACATCTAATTTTAACTTTTTATTGCTATTGCTGTGGTATTTACTCAGTTTTTACTAAACACCGACAACTGGACCTTTTTACCAAACTATGTTTCGATCTTTTATTTAGAGTATTTGTTCCAATAATAATTTAAAAAACCTGTCTTGTTATTTTGTTAGTTCCTAAATAGAGGAGTAATATCTAATTTTATCTCTTTATTGCTAATTGCTGTCGTATTTACTCAGTTTTTACTAAACACCGACAACTGGACCTTTTTACTAAACTATGTTTCGATCTTTTATTTAGAGAGTATTTGTTTCAATAATAATTTAAAAAAACTGTCTTGTTATTTTGTTAGTTCCTAAATAGAGGAGGAACATTTAATTTTGGCTCTTTATTGCTAATTGCTGTCGTATTTACTCAGTTTTTACAAAACACCGACAACTGGACCTTTTTACTAAACTGTGTATCAATTTTTTATTTTTTGATGTTACAAGCATAATTAAAGTTTAATTTAATGAAGAATATCTCAATCTATAATAATAAATAAAAATCTGTGTAACAATTAACAAACAAGTAGAAGTGTTTTTTTTTCACTTAAATTTTAAAAATTCTTTTTCTCAAAACAAGCTTTTTCAAAATTTCAACATCAAAATGTGGGGTAAAAAAATATGTGCCAGATTTTGAATATTTTTTTTAATCCGTACTATCAATTGACTATTCTAGATACTGAATTTAGTCTTAACTCAATACCCGACTACTGCTGAACTAGCTGCTAAAATTTACTGCTGAACATAGACCTGTTCTATAAGTTGCCTCACAGGGGGCATATTTGCCATAGTTGCCACGCTTCTTGGCAAGCGGTTTGGCGACGACGCTGCTGCCCATCATCTGGTTTGTTTACTTCTGTCGTTGCTTACGGCACCCACGAGATGATATGGGTAGTGAATATTCTTACACGGGTAGTGTAGAATATTAGCCGCATTTAGTAAGGGGAACAGTATAAACGTCTTATACTTCTTTACCATTACAGCCTATTAAAGTCCACTGCTGAACAAAGGCCTCCCCTATAGTTTTTGCCTTACGGCGCCTCTACACGTTGGCCAACACAGTGGCGAATGTAATGGCCAATAGCATTGGCTAACGTGTAGACGGGGTATTTGGGCTTCATTGGTATGTATTGGAACGATGGCCCGCAAGTTGGCGCGAGATCCGTGTGGTGTCGGTTTTTTACAAAAGATCAAAGGATTGTTGGCAGAGTTTGGTCGCCGCGTCCACACGTTGGCCGCGCGTTTAGTTTGCTACAAGCTCCCAGAGTGATTACACGCATCTGATTTAAATTTTATATTCAAGATTTGTATATGCCCCAATTACCAGCCTTTTAGTGCCAATTTCAACTTTAAACATTCCTACTACTTTAATTAGCGCGATTTAATTATTATTGAACATTTGATTTAATCAATAAGCTATTTATCAAAAAAAAAAAAACGTTTTTTTACAATGTTATTACGAGAACAATTTTAAAATGAAAAAAAAAATTAAGCACGTCGTTTATACGTGGTAGAACCATGCAATTATATTAGAAGTATAGTTGCAGCACGAAGGTCGGCTCGACCGGGGAAGGACCACGCTCTCACAGAATATCAGCGTAAAATAGTAGCTTAATGTACACTACATAGAAAACAGCTTGTGTTTCGTATAGTGAGTGTAGAGAACCAGAGACCCTTTTTAAAGGAAACGAGGCATTTCATCTTAGTCCTCACGGGTCACAACGCATCTGCATTTTGATTCGTAATCGAGGATAGACGTAGATGTCTATGAGCCCACAGCAACCATCTACCATCAGGTGAACTGTGTGCTCGTTTGTCACCCTATCCTATAAAAAAAAACACGTCGATTGCTTATAATTTAATCGTGCAAGTTTTCGAATCATCATCATATTACAGCTGTTCACAAGTCCACTACTGAACATCCTCCTCCACAGAATGCCGCAAAGCATGGTCCTGAGCCACTTTGCTCGTCATGAGTTTTTCCTTTATGTTCTAAGTTATAATTAGTACCTATTATTAAGTCAGTGTTAATTATATTTATTGCTATTGTTTTTGTCTTTCTCAAAAAATAATTAAATTACCAAATAAATTATAAGGTGTTTTTTATATACATCAAATGTCTGATAGAAATGCAAGTACATATTTTGCTAAACTTTAAAATCAAAACCCAATTTTAAAACATAGACTAATCGATTATAACTCCTTTAACTTTAAAATAAGTTAAGTTCTTATTAATGGTATTTATTCCAGTTTATAATGCATGTAAAGAATAAATGAAGCTAATTGTATAATATCGTATATCTATTTACAGCCCTATTAATAACCACTATTATTTTATAATTCTTTTATAAAAACGTTAACCCCACACTAGGATTTTCTCCCGTATCGCGCATGCAGTTTACAAACATAAATTGCACAAGGACACACATCCAGACCCGAAACAATTATTTGTAGGACATACAAATACTTGTTCCGTGCGGGATCAAACCCGCGGCGCACGACGCAGCCACCCATGCTGAGCCACTGCGCCACGGTGCTTATAAATTCGTCCGCACATTGGCCCGAACCGAAGTAAACTGAACGAACTTCCAACGTGTGGACGCCGTCACCAACTCTCGGCCATTATGTTCGCCACTCCATTCGCCACTGTGTTGGCCAACGTGTAGAGGCGACATTAGCTGCCACGCTTGGCAAGTGGGTTGATAATTGTAGTTTTTTTTATTTTTAGATGGTATTAGGAGGACCCTGCTGCCCATCTCCTATTTTTTTTTGCTTTTTTACCTATTATGACAACCACGGAATGATGTGGTAGTCGATATTCTTACACTATGGATATTATTATATATACTTCTGTATCAGTCTGTTTAAGTCCACATTTGGCAGGTGGATTAATAGCATTACTAGACGTTTTGTACCTATGATGCTGCTGTTTCTCCTGACTGATCTTGGTATTTTCCATCTCATCCATTATACTACCATATATCAGAAACCGTAACTTTTTCTGGCATTGGAATGTCAGAATAAAAGCGCGGTGGTCAGTATGTAATTTATTTTAAGGGTTATTATTAAAATACCTAATAAAAATAAATAATGTCATCCATGCCAAGTTACATCTAGGTTAGCCAGTCTTAACAGAATCTTGAAGAAGAAGAAATAGTCCTGATGTGAGCTTTGCTAAAGCTCACGTCAGGACTATATTCACATCAACTTTACATACTTCGCGACACAAGGTGAAATACCGCCATCTTCCTAACAATAAAGTACAACTCAGGCGCACGAGCCTTTAGAACTATAGGTTGTACACCATCTGGTCCACTAGCTTTGTTCACATCTAGACTGGGCAAGGTTTTGAATTGCAAGCAAAAAGACAATCAAATGAGTTCACATTCTCCCCAGTTATCTTGTTACACATATAATGACATACTGTTTTTCACGACACATTGTTTTACCATAACTGACAATCACAAGATGCTCAAGTTGTTTGCTAGAAGCATTGACACATAGAATTATTTATAATATTGAAACAATCACAACTCAACCTCAGAAGTCGGAAAACCACATTGTGTAGTGTTTTTTCACCTGTGTCGGTTCCAGCTGGATTACAAACCATGGACCAAAAATTACTGGCCACATACTCAGACTGAAACTAGGCTGTGTAAACATCATGAGCTTAAAGTAGATCATTTCCTATTTAACTGACAGTGGAAGCTTTTATTGTTGCTTTTACAATAAAAATTAATAAAAAAACTTAGTTATTATTTATACAATTTTTTTTAGAGGCTTGAAATTGTTTGGAAAATAAGAGATGAATTTGTATGACTATCAATTCAAATAATTCCACTAAAACTTACTGCATTAAATACTAGAAATAAGACTTATTTCGTTAATCACATTAACAGTACTAACATACCTCTAGTAGTTTAGTAAGTTCAAATAAGAATCACTTATTGGAAGAATTGTTTTGTTGAGAAGTAGTATCAATTTTCTTCACTACGATTAATAATAGTACCATCAATGCTTATTTCTATGAGATTTATTTCATCTTTATTATTTGCAGACTCTTCTAAATCTATCGTGTCATTAATAATATTTGATGTTATCTCAGGAATAGTGATTCCAATGCCTACCACAGGAAGATTACATTTTGGCAATGGCCTACTAACTATAGACTTTTCTATGTCATTTCTGTTAAACTGTGGTGGCTCATTGGAGAGCAACATTGGCCACAGAAACAGGGAATTAAACCTTTCCATTAAAAGGAAAAAGTGTTCCTTTAAGAGACTATTTTTTCTTATCAATACATTTATATTGAAATCACAAACCTTATTTACTTTTTTATCTGATATCCATGCCATTAATTTCCTACAACCAGTTATTGTTGCATAGTGTGGTGGTAAAACATATTGTAAATCTCCTAATCTTAATGTACCAAATAGATCAGGTAATTGTTTTACTATTGTTTTAAATGTATCTTTTTTGGAATATGATTTCATCTTCACTAAGCAAACTTCTTTCTCACCTTTAATTAAATCAGGATAATCTTGACAGTATTTACTGCTTATTAATTGGTTTTTATTTAATCGAGATTTAAACAAAATGAGTAATTTTCTTAAATTAGTAGCATTTAAAGATTGTGATGAAATAACCATATCATCTCTTAATACTAGATGTTCATCTTCCCATAGTTCTGATTTTTTTGCTTCTTCCTCTTTTAAGGTTTGATTAAGCAATGTTGCCATAATAGCATCTTCAATAACATCTTCCGGTGAGTCCTTTGTCACCTTCTTACACCTACGATCTTCAACCTCTGACTGTATCCTGCATTTTAGATTTTCAATCGCTTTATTCAAATTGTCTAGAGCCTGACCATGGCCCAATCGGCGTGCTGCACGACGTGGTGCCTTTGAAATGTCCATATTGGGATGGGTTTTCATCCATTTTACTAGTGTTAAATGCCTACTTCTTATGTGCATTCGGTCTTTTCCAGGGAAATATTTTGTAATACTGGAATAAGCACTAGGCGAGTCTTGGTTTGCCATTAACTTTATTAACTTGTTATCTTCCTCTACTGTCCATACTGTTGATATCCTTTTTTTGGCCAATATTTGATATCTTATACGTAGTTGAGTCATAGAACGACCAGGCAGAAAGCTTGTCATCCGCCTAAAGTTTGGTCCAAAGTGATCCACACAGGTAAGTATGACAGCATCTTCTTCAGCTAGAAACCTTCCTTTCCTTTGTTCAATAAGTCTATTATATTTGTTATATATTTGAATCTTTGTTCGGTTTTCCATTGATGTTGCCACTTTACCCCATGGAATGTAATTATCCTCCTTGTAGTAGTCAATTAATCTTTTAAGATATTCTTCTTCCTCCTTAGTCCATTTTTGGCCAGTAAATGTATTGCTTATATTAGTACGAAAATAAACAAAACACTGATAGCCGGTGCGTTTTGTTCCTAATGTTTCAGCTATTTGATCCCAATCTTGAAATTGATTTTTGTGAGCAATTTTTTGTAAAGATGTGTGCTCATGTTTGCTCCAACTATTTTTGTTAACATGAGGATGTAAAAATAACTTCCATAGAGTCTGATATTCTTGCGCAGAATGCCGTCGATTCAATTTAGTAGCTATGTAATCCCAATCATATTCTTGATTTAGAGGTAATGCAAGATCTTTCAATAATTTTTTACTAACATTATCCCTTTCTTTATTCAAAGCTGCAATTTTTTTATCAATTTTGATACTGGGATTTCGTTTAGCTTCCCGTTCCAGTTCAGAAATTTTTGACTCAATTTCTTTTTTGCATATGTCCTGTGACATTTTAAGTAACAAACTAATAAAATTACTTTTATCTTTTACTGTCCAACCAGGAGCTGATGATATAGAGGAAAAGTCATACATTCCAGATTTTTGCATGGTTATTGTATCTGTATTGTTTGGGGGCACAAAGTTGGCCCTATCTTTAAAGTATGGTTTACCACAATTAACATATCTAAATGATTCCCGTTTGTCATAATATTTATTTCTATTATTAGATTCTACAATATCGTTTAGTTTTTGTTTACATTCGTGTAATCGTCCCACTAAGATTTTTTCTAACCTTCGTAACTTTTCATTTGTTAACTTGTTTAGAGCTAAAGCCGTTTCAATTTTTGTAAGTTCTTGTACCACTTTCGAGGAAGAACTGTGCGTACTCGCCGCAGGGGAAGGAACTTGTGAATTGTATGCACTTGTTGAAGGTTCATCAGAAACAAGAACTGCAGTAAGCTGTTCTAAATCTTGCAACTCAGTTTCACTATCACAATCACTTTCTTCAAAATCAGATTCCATCATACTCAATTTCAACAACGCCAACAGAGATTAAAACTACTATTTTATGTCATTATCTTTTTACACAAATATTTAATAAACTATTATTTACATTTATATCAGTTATTAATAATCAAAGCGATTAAAAATACAAAAAGATAGTTTATTTATTTCATAACTTCAAATTGCTTCAAATCTTTGAGTATAGACACAGAGTACCTTTGTATAAACTGAAAAGTATAGAATGGTATAGAAAATAGGCTCAACTCAGTAAGTCATTGGGTGCGTTTGGCAGAAGAAAGCGCTAGCAAGCGCTTACAAGCGCTAAAATATTTTTCGTCCAGGACACGATTGCTACTTCAGTAGTGCTGACACAATCCGCCATTTTGCTTATTTAATTTGTTTGTTTTGAAATAGAGTTTATAAGTTGTTTTGTGCAACATTAGTTTTAAGTAATATAATGACATGAATATACATGTTATTAAAAATTCATGATTGGTAAGTTTTTAATATGAATACTTTACAAACATATATTTAAATTAGGTTAGATTCACCGGTTAAAACTAACATCGTGTCCTGGAGGAAAATAGCTACTTACGATTTGACAGCGCTTACCGCTTACGATCGCCAGTTTGCTTACAAGCGCTTGCTAGCGCTTTTTTCTGCCAAACGCACCCATTGATGATAAACAGATATTTATTTTATTATTTCTTTAACTGGCTTTACGGCTCTGGGTTCTAGCCCTTTTGAGCCTATCATTTCTTTCGGAATCTTGATTTTTATAGATTTTTTCTTTACAATATACTGATGCGCCATATTGTGGAATTTTTGCGAGATTTTGAAGACAGCTCAACCTAGTGGATAGTTGATGACGATAGTCACTCAAATTCATAAAACGCCTAAGCGATCAAAATAACTTGAGGTTTATATCAACATCAAAACACTTGTTTCATCGTTTTTTCTAATAGTTTACACGCGCAGACACTTAATTCACAAAATCACATCACTTTTACGAATCAAAATTCACTTCCAACTATTATTTAAGAGATAAAACAGGAGCAACAATCCGTCGACGGCCAAGTTCCTGCCAAAACTTCGATAAACAAATATGAGATCACCGACCTCTATATATACAAGTACGTTGGACTGGCTATACCATACAAAATGTATGTGCCAATTTAAAGCACCCCTAATGGTCGTCTTAGAAACTAAAATTGATATAATATGCCAAGTCTGTTGTCTTATTTAAATAGACTTATTTAAAAAAATCTGTATTTTGAACTTTTATACTAAAAACAAAAGTATTTTATTTGTTCGATTATGTATCATGTTATTAATTATAATATTAGCTAATTAGAGTGTGCGTAATCTGTAAAACTCGTTACCAAAAGGGAAGTGGTATAACACTTCACAAGTAAGTGAATTTGCAGCTAATATTAAACAAATTTAAACTATTTGATAATATAGATACTGAAAAATTTGTTACTAATCTTAATATCATATATACCAATATGTTTGGCTGTGTATTACTGAGTTTTGATAGACAATAAAATTCAATAGGGTTGTCGAGTTCCTTGTCTCGACATCGTGATACTTATCGATGTTCTTTCCTACCCATATCTGTTAACAAACAAAGTCACCAACAACAGATGATTATCAAATGTTTATTAATTAACAGGTTTCCAACTGAACCTAGACTAAAATTATGCCTTAAAATTTTATTATAATAATAACCCGAAGATAGCTTACCGTATAAGACCCACATTTGAAAGGCAAGTCGAGCCTCCCCGTGGGCATCTCTAACGTGTTTATTCCACCCCACAACATATTTCTTATTCCTTTTGTTATTACAACTGGCCTGAGCGGATTCTCTAAGAATAGTAACAATATTACTGTATATATTATCTAAAATTAATTTGTGATTGTCATTGATACATATATTATTACAACAATTCATAAACTCTGTGGAAAAATTACGTCTTTTAATTTAGAGTGACACAATTTTTTAAAAGTTTCTATTTGGTTATTATTTCTGACACCCCAAATTATTTTATTATTACAGAAATAGCTTACCACATTTTTTGATCTCAAAAATTTATCAGTTCGTTACAAAACAACGTACCGGGATGCGAATTAAAGTCACCTAACGCAAATACAGAGTCGACATTTTCATTTTCAATAATAGCACTTATCTCGCTCATGCACGATGTAAATTCTATTAAATTGTCTACTGAATCCGTTGGCATATAGACCGAGAATATTATGTAAGTTCTGTGAGACGCACACATTGACACAATCAAACGCATTTTTCCTCCACAAGAGGGCCACACCACCACAGGGTCTGCCTGTGAATACACCGGAAGACATATCAACTGCTGACTTACCAGTATAGCTGAAGTCTTGATGTATCTCGCCCAGAAACGTTATATCATCAGGTAGAAGCCATGTCTACTGTAGCGCTAGCACGTCAGACTTTTCACACAGGTTTCTTACGCACTCCAAAGAGCGTTCAACAGAATTACAGTTGAAAGTAGTAAATTTTGCTGTACTATACATGAACGATTTTTTTAACGCATTATCTGAGGTCTCCCGATGTCTGTACTTTAAATGCACAAATCTTCATAATGAGATGCCGTCCGGCCAAAGACTGTCATTTAAAAAGACAGCAAGTTTTTGTTTGGACTATCCTTTGTCTTTTTTCATAGTCACTTTTTCTAGTGTCACTAACTCGTTAGTTTTATTCCTAATATAATCGACCATATTTTTTTTAGCGTCTCTCTATGTACGTTTGATATAAATAGCGGAATTTTCAAGTCCGCTGATTTAAATTTCTCCTCAGGTTTTATTTCTGCTTTTCCTGTCTTACCTATAAAACGGCTACGCAATCTGCGCTTTTGAACTTTTATCCAGGCCTCTGGCGGTTCTTCATTTTTCCAAGCTTCACCTTTTTTCAATATTTCGGCCATAGTTAGCGAAGTCTCAAAATTAACATCACAAGATATATCTTTTATTGCGTTATTATTGAGTAGACTTATTCACTACAATTGTTTTGTCATCATTCATCCTGCTTTTACTCGGTGAGTTGTGCATTGTAATAGGAGTTACTTTAGTGCCTCCTGCGCTGAACGATTGCCGCTCATCCGCACCGTTATAAGCAGTCACGCCTCCAGATGTAAAGAGGTCAGCATTATGCATATCTGACGCAGGTGCAAGTGCATCGGTACGAGCACTATCACGAGCACGACTAGCTACTTGTGCGATAGATATCTTTTCCGTCTCTGTCTGTACGTCAGTTGTTTGTTGACGTACATCAGCTGTTGATAACTCGTGCGACAAGCCCATCGGCCCACTGTCACCGAACGTAGTACCCACATCTAACAAGAAGGCACTGCACCTTCTACCTACCTTATGATGATGAGCTGGTGATGTGGATGTTTTAAGAAAGATTTATCTTTCTTTAGCTCTTCCAAGTGCGTCTTGGTTATATAATTATCCTTGATGATATTAACCTCCTGTTGCAACAAAACTATATCCTTCAGCAATCGAGTTACATCTACATGATCGAAAGTGATCGGCGGAAGTTTTTGTAGTTTACGAGCAACAAAAATGGGTGCACTATCTGGGTATGTTTCATTGTAAAGACTAATAATGTCTTCTAACTCCCTTTGGGATTTCCCATCTGTACGCCGAGTAAATTTTCCATTTCTACGTCTTATATTTTTTCTTTTACCTGAGGGCAATGACTCGAATAGCAAAATTTTTGCATTAGTGATATCTTCAGCTATAAAGGCACTACTACAAATTCGGACAATGCTCTCCTCGTCCATCACATCTGCCTTGTTTTGTATAAAGGCAAGCACTTCGCTTATCACAATATTACAATTTGTACATTTTACCACTTTGGACGCCATTGTCTTATCGTACAATGACCTTTCGCTTACGCTCAAAGCGAACACATGTACGCGCTTTGTCGTTCCGCTTGCGACTGATTATATGTTTTGAAAAACACAGAGCGTCACTTACCGGGTAACAGGTTCGAAGCGAGCTTGTTATGGCGGCCAGATAATGAAGTTATGCCGTCAAATACTCGTAGAGTGCAAGCTGGAATTCGCTTGTTCAAATGTAGAGTTGAAAAAAGAATATAAGAAGCAGATTGACAATCTTATTGATAGTGGTTACGCCGAGAAGGTTAATCATGATCCCATTTCTCCAAGAACATGGTGTCTTCCACATTTCGCGGTTACACACCCGCAGAAGAAAAAGATTCGAATCGTATTTGATGCGGCTGCCAGAACCAACGGGCGCTGTCTTAACGACGCTTTGTTGGCAGGACCTGATTTACTGCAATCATTGTTCGGAGTTTTACTACGGTTCCGAGAAGGAAGCGTGGCAGTCATGGCAGACATTAAAGAAATGTTTTTACAAGTCTAAGTACGCGAGAACCCAGAGATAGTCCAGAAGAGTATAGAATGACGTCCCTTATATTTGGAGCGACGTCGTCTCCGTGCACAGCTATTTACGGGAAAAAGAAAAATGCATAAGAATACGAACACTTGTATCCAGAAGCATCTCGGTATCTCATCTCTACACAGCAGAACTTCTATATAGATGATTATCTACAAGCATTTCCCGACATGGCGACGGCGAAAAAGGTAGTTAATGACATATATGAATTGCATAATAACGCTTCATGTCAACTAAGGGGGTGGGATAGTAACTGACCCGAGGTTTTAAACAACATGGAAGATATCTTCAAAAGCGAGAGCGCCTCTCTAGGCGATAGTAAGCATGCGGAACGAACATAATTAACAATAACAAGAACAAATTTAATATGGAACATTAAACAAGACACGTTGAATTTCACCGTGAGTTTACGAAACACACCAGCGGAAGTATTCAATGGTTTACGACCTCCCACAAAAAGGGAAGTGACAAGAGCATTTATGTCGGTTTTCGATCCGTTAGGACTTGCTTACGTGCCGTGTAGTGGCGGTTAAGAATATACACTACCCAATATCTTCCAGTGGGTGTCGTAAAAGGCGATAGAGAGAAACAGACAGGAGATGGGCAGCAGCATTTTCCTGATAACAGCAACTGTACGACAAAAAATCTGCGGTTGCCAACCCGCTCGCCAAGCGTGGCAACTATGGTAATATACATCCCATGAACAATTACACAAATGGACGTCCCCCAGTCCCCGGCTGTCCCGCTATTCATGGCTAGGGCAGCGACCACGGTAACGACGGGGCAGGGGGTGCTAACAATCTCCGGTGGAGGTTCGGTTGCCATCTACGACGACTCGACCTGGCAACATATAACGCACGCACCTTGAGGACTGACGAGAAGATCCTGGAGCTGAAAGAAGAGATAGGCAAGTTGCGCTGGAATATTATAGGATTATCCGAGGTCCGAAGAGAGGGGGAGGACAAGGTGATTCTCGAATCCGGCAACTTGTTCTATCACAGGGAGGGCGACCATCTGTCCCAAGGAGGTGTTGGATTTATCGTCCACAAGTCCGTCGTTAACAATGTTGTGAAAATTGGGAGTGTGTCAGAATCACCAAACGGTATTCGCTGAAGGTCATACAAGTTTACGCACCAACGTCGGCACATCCTAATGAGAAGGTGAAAGAAATGTATGAGGATATTTCTAGAGCTATGTATTCCTCCAAAACCCACTATACGGTGCCCTTCAGCCACCGAGGCCCGAGCGGGCGGTAAAGAAAAGTAGTCTCTAAATATAAGTTTTAAAGTTTAAGGTGGTGTGGGTAGGTGCGGTCGCATGCGACCGCTTGGGGGCTGAGGTGTTAATGGGAAACTTCAACACAAAGATAGGCACAAAAAAATGGTGAGCTGAAGATAGGGAAATTTGGGATAGGGCAACGGAACCCAAGGGGCCAGCAGCTGGCCGACTTCATGGTGAAAGAGGGACTCTTTATGATGAACTCTTTCTTCCAGAAGCGGCCCCACAGAAAGTGGACCTGGTCGATTCCCGACGGTTCAACAAAAATGAGATTGATTTCATTATGATGACTAGACGGCAATTGTAAAAATACACATCATCGTTGGAGGCACACGCAAGTGTGAATTATGATCCAAGAGCAAGTCATATCCGACACTATTCCGGTTATATCCCGGACGTCAATCTGAGCGAAATTAGAATGACTCTCCAGCACCTTAAAAATAGCAAGGCCCCAGGCGAGGATGAAATTACAGTGGAACTTCTGAAAGCGGGTGGAACACCGGTACTTAAAGTTCTTCAGAAGCTCTTCAATTCGGTCCTCCATGGTAGCACTACTCCGGAGGCGTGGAGCAGAAGCGCGGTGGTCATATCCTTCAAGAAAGATGATAACGCTCTCTTGAAGAACTACAGACCGATATCGATTCTGAGCCGCGTCTACGTGTTGTTTTCGAGAATCATTACGAATCGTCTCGCATGCAGACTCGACGACTTCCAGCCGCCCGAACAAACCGGTTTCCGAAAGGGCTTCAGCACCACTTTTCCTGTCGTATGTTGACTATGAGAAAGTCTTTGATTCCGTCAAAATTTGGGCGGTCCCTTCAGCGGTGCCAAGTTGACTGTCGATATATCGAAGCGCTGAAATGTTTATACGGTAGGGCTACGATGGCTATCCGAGTACAGAACCAGAGCACGACACCTGTCCAACTGCAGAGAGGTGTAAGACAGGGTGACGTTATATCTTCGAAACACTTCACCTTTGGAAGACGTTTTCAAGCTACTGGACTGGAAAGGATACGGTATTAATATCGATGGCGAGTACATCACTCACCTTCGATTTGTCGACGATATTGGTCTTTATGTCAGAATCGCTGGAGGACCTAAGCACTATGCTCAATGACTTCAATAGTGTCTCCCCACGGACAGGTCTTAAGATGAATGTGGACAAAACAAAGATCATGTTTAACGTCCATGTCTCACCTGTGCCGTCAGTTGTTGGGAGCACTAAGCTCGAAGTTATTGGAGAATACGTTTTTTACCTGGGACAAATAGTCCGACTAGGTAAGTCCAACTTCGACGGAGAGGTCACTCGACGGATTCAACTCGGCCGGGCAATTACGATACATCTTCTCGTCAAGTATACCTCAAAACCTGAAAACGAGACTGTACAACCAGTGCGTGTTGCCAGTGATAACTTACGGATCGGAGACGTGGTCCTTCACTGCTGGCCGATTGAGGACGCTCATGGTCGCTTAGCGAGCTATGGAGAGGACTATGTTTGGGGTTTCTCTGCGTGATAAACTTAAAAATGAGGTTGTCCGCAGTAGTACCAGAGTGACTGACGTAGCCCAACAGATTAGTAAGTTGAAGTGGCATTGGGAAAAAAAATTGACAATACAGTTTGTACGTGTAACTGTCAATGGTGTAAGACTATATCAAACCCGGAGCGATCAAGGATAGCCACTTCATTGAAATAATACTAGTTTTTACGGAATTTATCGCGTATATTTAACTTTTTAATTACCCGACGTTTCGAACGCTTTACAGCACTCATGGTCACGGGCAGGACTGAGATGTTCAACGTTCCATATGTCATAGTTAACCGCGGTTTCCATAGATTAAAATTTAACTTTTGTTCCGATCTATGCAGTATGAACTTATGGTATCTTGAAGTCTTGCAGTTGTATGCTTGGGTTGGGATTTAATTTTATTTATTATAGGATCCCAAGCAGATGGTAGCACCCAGCCATCTTCTCTATTGAAATTAGGATGTTTTTTGATTTCAATAGCCTCGCGAATCATCCTTGGAAGGAATCGGTGTTCTTTAGCGAGAATCTGCGGTCTATCAAATTTGATGTAGTAACGGGGGCGATCCTGTACGTGTTCACAGACTGCAGACTTCCCGGAGCGTCGATTCTTCACATCAGCTATGTGTTCTTTAACGCGGGTTTTTATTGATCTTTTAGTTTGTCCTATGTAGGAGAGACCACATTCACAATCAAGCTTGTACACTCCTGCATCTTGCAGATGGACATTACACTTGACCGATGGTAAAAACTGACCAATCTTCTTCAGCGGCTTGAAGTATGTTTTGATGGAAGCGCGCTTCAAGATATAGCCAATCTTGTCAGTGACTCCTCTAACATATGGCAGTACAGCAGGTACACGTTCGACTGTGGCCGGCTTCACTCGTTCACTGTGACGTAGGCGCGGGACTCGAAGCTTGTTGTCATGCAAAACTTGCTTGACATGGTGGAGCTCTGCAGCAAGGTGTTTACTGTCACAGATCCCTCGTGCTCTCTGAAACAAAGATTTACCCACGGTAGCTAACTGTGAAGGATGGTGGTGAGAATCACCGTTTAAATATCTATCTGTATGGGTCT